CCTCTTTTTATTCAAAATATTGTCACACAACAAAATTTCAGTAGTTTTGATACCTCAGGCTGACTCGTATAACAAAATCATTTAAACAAATCAACCAAAACTGACCATATTTGCATTTTATTATGTAAATCTATATAGCCACATAGTAAATCAGCAATATTTTGATGTCAGGATGGATTGTATAATACAAATGACAGCAACATTGCAATACTATGACAACAAAAATTTGTCCCCATCAATCTAGATAGCCAGCATGTCCTCTTTTTATTCAAAATATTGTCTCTTAAGAAAATTTCAGTAGTTTTGATACCTCAGGCTGACTTGTATAACAAAATTATTTTACAGCATCAACCAAAACTGACCATATTTGCACTTTTAATATTATGTATATCTATATAGCCACATAGTAAAGCAGCTATATTTTATTGTCAGAATGGATTGTATAATACAAATGACAGCAACATTGCAACACAATGACAACAAAAATTATCCCCATCAATTTAGATTGCCAGCATGTCCTCTTTTTATTCAAAATATTGTCTCGCAACAAAATTTCAGTAATTTTAATACCTAAGGCTGACTAGTATAACAAAATTATTTAAACGCATCAACAAAAACTGACCATATTTGCACATTATTATGTATATCTTTATAGCCACATAGTAAATCAGCAATATTTTGATGTCAGGATGGATTGTATAATACAAATGACAGCAACATTGCAATACAATGACAACAACAATTTGTTCCCATCAATTTAGATAGCCAGCATGTCCTCTTTTTATTCAAAATATTGTCTCGCAACAAAATTTCAGTAGTTTTGATACCTCAGGCTGACTCGTATAACAAAATTTTTTAAATGAATCAACAAAAACTGACCATATTTGCACTTTATTATGTAAATCTATATAGCCGCATAGTAAACAACAATATTTTGATGTCAGAATGGATTGCATTATACAAATTAAATGACAGCAACATTGCAACACAATGACAACAAAAACTTGTCCCCATCAATCTACATGTAGATAGCCAGCATGTCCTCTTTTTATTCAAAATATTGTCTCGCATGAAAATTTTAGTAGTTTTGATACCTCAGGCTGACTTGTATAACAAAATTATTTTAAAGCATCAGCCAAAACTGATCATATTAGCACTTTATTATGTCATGTATGTAAATCTATATAGCCGCATAGTAAATCAGCATATAGCCGCAAAGTAAATCAGCAATATTTTGATGTGAGGATGGATTGTATAATACAAATGACAGCAACATTGCAATACAATGACAACAAAAATTTGTCCCCATCAATCTAGATAGCCAGCATGTCCTCTTTTTATTAAAAATATTGTCTCGCAAGAAAATTTCAGTAGTTTTGATACCTCAGGCTGACTCGTATAACAAAACTATTTTAAAGTATCAAACAAAACTGACCATATTTGCACTTTATTATGTAAATCTATATAGCGGCAGCCGCATAGTAAATCAGCAATATTTTGATGTCAGGATGGATTGTATAATACAAATGACAGCAACATTGCAATACAATGATAACAAAATCTTGTCCGCTTTAATTTAGAGTGCCAGCATTTCATCTTTGTATTCGTCATATAAAACTGTCACTAAAGTCAGTATCAGTATCTGTATTTCCCACTGCCATGACTTCTGAATATGGACGGGTACATCACAGATTCCTTTTGGGCTATTGTGTGATGGGTTGGTCTGCGCATAAATTAGTCGTGCTTGCTGAGGTGTGATGATTTAAACTCAGTAGATCAGGATGGTTTGTATAATAAAACTATTCCACCTCATCATCCAACAGAGTGACTGACATGACATATTTCATTTGTACTTTATAATGAAAAGTATGAGAAGTTCTCTTTTAGGAAAAGTATACTGTTAGTATATTATGTCGGTTGGTTGATTTTGTTGGTGGCTAAATATCAAGTGGCAAATATTTCATTCCGTTTCACATAAGTATATTTTTTCGGACGTTCAATATATCATTTATAATCCGTAAAGACAAATCTAACGAAATTGACGAGATTGTTCATAATTATACAACACCTTATGTGCAATAACACTGTACAATTTTCCTTTGAACATTTTTTGGAAAACAGAATCGTAAATCCAAGGCAAACATAGGTGAATGACGATAAGATATTTATAAAGAGACTGTCAAAAGTGGGGAACGAAGCAACTTTAAAAATGATGTTGATAACCCGTGATATAAAAATACTGTTCCGATGCGTGGATAACCTTTCTATCCGCCTTCTAGTTTAAATAAAATCCTTTCTTTTATGATAACTGCATGTGATCACAAGTGTGTAATTTTAAAGCCATTGTTTAATGAAAATAAGAATATGAAAAAAAAAGATTTTTTAATATGTGTATATTAAATATATATGACATAGAGTCTAACGAGTAAAGTAATTTGCTTTACTGGGAAAAAAGAACAATAGGATTATTATTATTGTTTATGTTTACAATCCGAAAAATTAAAATAAAATGAACTTCGGTTTCAACCAATGAAATGTCGTACACCATTCATTCACACCATTCCCGATCGCACGTTACACAATCACACCATTCCTCATACACCATTACACCATTCCCCTTACACCATACACCATAGCACCATACACCTTCTACCATTGCACCATATGCCATACACCATTACACCATACACGTTATTTTGGGAAGTTTACACCACCCAAGGGCTGCCCAAACAGAAAAATAAATGAACAAATTGCTTTCAAATCGCATTCAAATCTCTTTCAAATCATGATTCTGCGATCTGTTAGTACCATTTGCTTGTGATTCATTAAACAAATTATAAACAAATCAGAATTTGCCAAATTCCCTAAAACTGATTTCTTTGTGATTTCTTTCAGTTGTATGATTTGTAAGCAATTTGTTTCTGTTTTTGCGTGATTTCTTTATGATTTGTTTACTTAGAATATTGTATGAAGTGATTTGAAAGAGATTTGTTAACTTTGTTAGCTAAAATGATGTGATTTCGTTATGATTTGTTTACTTAGAATATCATATGAAATGATTTGAAAATGATTTGTTAACTTTGTTAGCTATCATGATGTGATTCATTGATGATTTGCTACAATGAATAAAATGTTAATGCATTCAAATTTTCTTTGTTTATCTATCTCTCTGACTTCCGGTTGAGATCAAATTCAAATTTCAAATACTGTTCTATATTAACTGAACAAAGAAGGTTGCAAGATGAGGAGTTGTTCTATCAATGATGAGAGTGGTAAGGAATCTCAGTTATTTATTTATAAGTTCACACATTCAATTAATACTATTTAACATGTAAAAGGTGTGAAATTTTTAAATTCAGAAACTGTGCATTTAAGTATCTCGACTTAATTTTGTACTGTCAGGATTAATTTTCAAAATAAAAATGTGTAAAAGATGTGTAAACAGATCGAGACATGCAATTAAAGACTAGATTCCCGAGCCAGCAGACAAAATTCACTGCCAAGTTTCATGTTTTAATTTTTCATGTTTACTGGCCAGATCCCGGGCAGTAGGGGCAAAGCTACATTAGCAAATTTGGACCAAGACTTAGACTCATCAACTATATATATTCGACATGCATCCTTTTAGTACACGTGGTTGCCCAAGTTTTGTCAAATCTCATTAGAGTCAAATTCCGAAGAGAAGTAAGAGAAACCTAAACAGAGGGAACGATTCGTCCCTCATCACAACCAAAGATAGTATTCCTTTTTACAATTAGAGGAGAAGCTAAGGTAAAATGAAGACAAATGCAATTCAAAGTTTTGGGGTTGTCAGGGGCAGAACATATTTTTGATCTGGATGTAAATGGTTTAATCTGTGAATTGATGATTGATGCAAATTAATTGACGATTTGCTTGTGATTTGCTTGAGGTAGAAATATATGATTTACTTGTGATTTGTTAAAGATCTGATAACAATTTGTTTATAATTTCTTCATAATTTGAAAACAATTTCTTAGTGATTTGCTTGAGGTAGGAATATGATTTACTTCTGATTTGTTAAAGATTTGATAACAATTTCTTTACAATTTCTTTACAATTTCTTTACAATTTGAAAACAATTTGTTTGTGATTTGCTTGAAGTAGGAAAGCAATGATCTCTGATTTGTTAATGATTTCAAAACAATTTCTTGACAATTTGTTTGTGATTTGCTTATGAATTGGAAGCAATTTGTTCGTGATTTGTTGTTGTGATTTGTTAGCTCATTTGCATGTGAAATTTTATCACTTTCAAATCATAAAGAAATCATACGATTTGGTTATCATTTGTTACCATGATTTGTTCCTCAATTTTTTTTGTTTGGGTGTATTTGAATCAATTTTTTAACTAAGTCATTGAAGGGAAGATAACTCTTAAAGTAAAAAAATATACCAGAATGATAGTGAAATTTTCCTTTTTGCTTGTACAAAATGAAGCAGGAGAACAACATTAACAAGTTCCCCATTTCCATTCTAAATTTTATATTTAAGATTAAAAGTATATAATTTGTATTATTTTGCAGGACCGGCATGAATCCCCGTTTGTGCAATAGCATGTTCATTTCGACAGGTGTATAAGGATTTTAAAGGACAATTCTGTCCAACATATTTTTATATCACTAGAAGAATGAATTAAGTCTTCACTTCATTTTGATGTATAAGTGTTTTGATGTCGTAATAATTTTGGCAATTTTCATACGCTTCGCTATTTTGCAGAAAAATTGGAAACCAGAGTACAAACAAGTAATCCACATGTGCAAATATAAATAAGAAGATGTGGTACGAGTGTCAATGAGACAACTGTCAATCCAAGTCACAATGTATAAAAGGTTACCAATTATAGATAGAAGTACGACCTTCAACGCGAGACCTTGGCTCTCTCAACGAACAGCAAGCTATGTATCTTTATAAAGGGTCCAAAAATGAACGCAATGGCCCCAAAATTGCTCGTGCAATAACCAGTTCAATATGTATCATTTTCCTTTTACACGCATTATACAGTCATGTACTTTTCAGGATGTCCAGGTAATGTTAAACCGTTATCAATTACCTGTGGTGACGGTATACTGAGATGCCCTGGTAATTACGAATGTATTACACATCAAGGAAGCAAAAAAGGGATTTGCTGTCCTATTGGTAGGTATCAATCAAATCCTTAAATTTGACAGCAATTAACCAAAGTACCAAACAACCTGACATTTTTTAAGATCAATATATAATTGAGATAGCTGTATAGTTTGATAAAAATCTAAGTTGATTTGAAAAAGTTATAAAAAAAATTAAAGTGTTCTATCTGAATTTAGTCCGAACTGCACATTCTAAAATTTATGACCTAGATTAATTTAAACCTTAAACTTGACAGCAATACAACAAACCTGGGATTCAGTAAGATCAATAAATACTTTGATAGCTGTTTAGTTTTATGAAATCCAAGTTAATTTGAAATAGTTATTAAAAAATGTACTATCTAAATTCAATCCGACTGAGAAAAAAAATTTTACCTATCAAAACTGCCAAATAACCTGGAATTCTAAGTTCTAAATTTCATTGAATTAGATTGGCTGATTCAGACCAGTCAAGACTAAATTTGAAGGTCAAGACTAGGCGAGACAGGTCGACAACTGGCCGAGACCATTTCAGACTACACCAAGATCATGAAGTACTGAATAAGACTTACTAAGTAAAGTCGAGACCAAAGTCGAGTACAGTTAGGTACAGTTAAGTACTGTCGAGATAATGTCGAGACTAGTCGAGTATTATCTGTGCTCGACCTTACTGGTTTAGCACAAAATATGGTTCTTTCAGACCCTGAGCAGTTTGTAGATATTTACAATGTGGATTCCTTCACAGAATAGTTCTAATTGTGGTGACTGTGTTTACTACAAACGAATCTCGTACGGTTTATTAGAATGAGTTTTCTAAAAATATATCTGTTAATACTTACAAACATTAATCCATATTTTACATTTTAGGAAAACCTTATGAACCAAAGAGTGGTTGATGCCCTAGAGAAAAATGATTACCATTAGTGACTTGTAAATCCTGTTCATTGACCTATGCTGAAGACAACAACAAATTACGTTTTAAATTTCCAAGATTTGGAAATTAATTAAAATTTCATGAATGTTGACGTTCTCAGTTTATTCACTCCATTTTTATAGTGCTATCAGGCAAAAATCACAGATTCTTACATTGACAAATAGTACAATTATAAAAAAAAATACATTACCTTGTGTTAAATGTTAGCAGTCTCTGTTAAGATTGTGCATACGTCAAAACGTCATATAATATGTTATGATTACATATTGTTTTACAATTGACCTGTAAATTGTGAATCTGCTTATCGTCTCCTTAATCAATGCGAAGTGTGGTGTGCATGTGACGTCTTTTATAAAAGAAAAAAAAATAAAGAGTAAAATTAGAGACAAACACCCAATATCTTTTTGAATATTTTTTAAGATATTACATTTAAAAACGAATATTTAAAAAATGTCATACAATGGTCCGCTCCCTGCTAGCTGTCTGTTTTGCAAATGTGATCTTGATAAAAATAAGGAGATGTGGTATGATTGCCAATGAGACAACCATCTAGTTAAGGTAAAATGAAGTGGACGTAAGCAATTATAGTCATCCGTACGGCCCTCAACAATGAAAAAAACCTCAAACCGTATGGTTGGCTATAACAGACCCCGACATGAAAAATATGAAACCAATTTAATATTGACCTCTACAAAAGGCTTTGTCCCTTTCTTATAGTTTGGTATAAATTCAACAGTTGTACATTGAATATTGGAAAAAACAAATTACATCTCATTTTTTAATACTTTCGTCTTCTTTAAGGCAGTGTTGAAATACACATTTCACCTTATTGTTATCTTGTTCTCGTCCTGAACATGCATGAAATATTTGCCACTGGACGTTAAGCAACCAACAATCAATCAATCAATCAGAACTTTAAATACCCAACCATTAAACAATTTAATAGTATACGTTTTGACAACTACTGTTGTTTGCTAAAGTCGAATGACAAATGTTCCATGCAGATTGAGAACATAAAAATATGAGCAATGAATTTAATGACAAAAATGTATTCAAAAATGCCATTGCTATTTGGATTGAGAGTATTACGTTGATTTGAGAACAATATCTCCTTTCAAAAGGCCGCTTGCATGAATTCTGTAACGCGCAGAGAGCTTGGAACTCTTCAATTAAAAAAGATCGAATTTAACCTCTCGTTTTTTTACCATCACTGGTTTTGTCTTTAACCAACTTTCATAAAGAAACCGGAGTCTTTATTTTGCATAGAGAGGAAAAAGATCCGATGACAATAGCTGTAAACTATATTATGCTCTTTGGGTCCGAAATGGAAACGCCACGTATTTTTGTTTGCTATTTCCTAACCACTAAAACTCCTTTATGAGATGTGTATGCTATTGCATTGTCCGATTCATATCATACGTATATGTAAGAACAGATTTAAGAGATAATATAAGCAAATGTATGTTTTAAGGATTTGTTTTATTTATCATATTATTTGCTATATATCCTTAAACATAATTCACTTCAGGTTAGTTTGACAAATAAAATATGAAAAAGCAACATTTCCTTATTTAATTTCATTTGTATACAGGACATAATATTTACAATATATAGTTGTTGACAATAATGCTGACACCGTGATTTATGCAGATGATACTAGATCCGTGTTTACCACTGTTATTAAGGAGACGTGGACAATTGATGTCATGAATTGTGCACGACTTAATTTGTTTCTTTCCGACATTTCTTAGATTGATAAAAAAAAATAGAGACAGACTCAATATTTGATTAAAGTCTATCACTTGTACAAAATAAAAGATTGAAATACTCATATAAAACATAGCGTATAGTGATACTAATACTAGTAGTAAAATATGCCTAACGTATATATGCTAAAATATCGTACGCGTCATTATATTCACAATAATGAGAGACTATTACAAAATTATCATATACAATATTTTACATAATGTTTAAACTATTTATGAAGCGAGATTACCAGATAAGTTTACAAGTAAATGCATTAAAAAAAAATTGTAGACGACTTGTTGTTTTATGAATAAAAAAACTCAAATGCAGTCGTATATTCAACGTTCTTTCTGATGTAATGACGCTTGTTGTTTGCTGTATAAACTACTTATTCATTTTAGACGACTCGTTGTTGTATGAACTACTGTAACCCAACTTATTTTAGCGGATACTTTATTTCGCGTTTTACCATTATTAGCCCTTTTTGAAGCGATTTTGTTTCGCGATTTTCAAATTGTTACATGGAGTTAAGTAAGAAAATATTAGTTATTTTTACAGATTCGCCACAATTTATATTCGCTTTATTTTTCTACCCGCGAAAGTTGCGAAAATAAATCGCTTGCGAAAATTAGTTGGTTTACAATACTCGTTTGTTTTACACGACTCGTTGCTGTATGAACTACGTACTCATTTAAGACGACTCATTGTTGTATGAACTCATCATTCCTTTGAGACGACTCTTTGTTGTTTGAACTAATAAATCATTTTAGACGACTCGTTGTTTATGAACTTTTATTTCATTTTAGAGAACTTGTTGTTGTATGAAATACTAATTCATTTATATTTGACTCTGATACCTCATTCGACTATGGGTTTGTCTACCCATTATTCATGTCAAAATGTACATCAAATTGCAATGTGATGATTTAACTTGTACATTTTTTCTACGTTTTTCCTAAAAGCTAATCATTTATCACATGCACATATTTTTAGGACATCTTGAAACTGTTTCCTTAAACAATGTTTAAGTATAAATTGATGTCTACGGACCATTCATTTACATTTACCTGTTCGTAAAAAAATGTGGCAAGTTGGAATTTTGATCCTTTTTATAGCTAGTTATGCACAGGTTAGTTTTAGTAATTACTTTAATATTCATTGAAATACGAGTATTAAGTTTGTTCTATTGACTTTATCTAATCTGATTTGATTATTACAAATGAAATTATATGTGTGATTCTTGCTCAATTCTTCCGAGACTGAATTGTCATTTTTTTTCTACACGTTTCGTTTATTGCTACGGTCAATCATGAATGTTTTTTTTTTAATTTTATTTCAGCAAACAAAATCCACAACACGTGAGAATACATCTTAACGATTATTTAGTTTATTTAGCATTTACCAATCTATTTAGAAGATAATTATTTAGATGGAAGACAGAATACATTCCTATAGTAATTGGCATCTAATTTTTATATATCAAATAGATTGCTAGCTTATGAGTTTAGGTTTGTTTCAAAAACCGTGTTAGTTCAAAATGTGTTGTGTACATAATTTAATAAGCTGTGTAACACAAATATGGAGTGCAAACGATGTCAGTTTACAGTTTTACCTAGCATCAATCAGTAAGAGCCTGGCAAAAAACGTTTGCGCTAGAAACTTCTAAATATGCAAAGATGAACGACAAAATTTAGATTCATACACGTTTTATAACAATATGTAAGGCCATTTCAAAGGCCTTTTTCATTTAACATCATACAATTTATCAACCTACTAAAATTCGACAGAACAGCCTTCCTCTTCAAAGTAGAGTCGAATGATGTTTGTTTAGTTCGGGTCGATTTTTCATATTAAAATTGAGAATGGAAATTGGGAATATGTCAAAGAGACAACAACCCGACCAAAATATTATCTTTTTTATGATATTTTTGTATCACATAGGCGAGTCTGGATGAGAAATCAATGGTTTTCATTTCATTTATTTTCTATTTTTTCCTAAAAAGGTATATGACCGTTAGTCCATGTGGGGCGAACCATCAGGACAAACGTATTAGTCTGTTTTTTGTCCTCAAGTTCAAATTAATGTCTTTAGAAAAGAGGCTTCTCCGAACGTTTACTTACAATTGATGAGCATTCAAGTGTAACTCGATCAGATAAGACACTTAAACTATCATGGCAAACATTGGCTTTTATACATAAGGAAATACCTGTACCAATCCAGGAATTTGACAGTTGTTTCCACTCGATTGATGTGTTTGCCATTTGATAAGGGACTTTTCGTTTTGAATTTTCTGAGGTATTTTTGTAATTTTACTTTTTTTGTCATTTGAAAAAAACAACTGTGTTGAACCGTTTCTAAATTTTTTTAAAGGAAAATCTATGAAATGTATTCAATAATTCCTGCTAGTGGAGATGCATGGACAAGCCAGTTTTTGGTGCTCTCGAATTACAGACTTACAGTTAGGTTAAACAAAAAATAAAACGTTATTCAGTACATGTGCCCGAGGGGTTTGTTTGGATTTGATGCTCTTAGAGTAGTTTCATTTGTATATGTAGGCGATTTGCAGAAATAACATGCGCTGATGTGTTCAATAGATTTTTTATTTGTGATGTTATTTCAATACCTTTATGTGAAGGTAGAATACATACCGATTACAGAGTTAAACTTATAAATATGAGTGATTTATATCGGCTGTGTAAGAGATCACTATAAACAACCGCGAAAAGTAGAAAAAAAGATAATTTTTGATATTACTGCGACTAAGAACCATGTCAAATATGCATATAAAATTATGGTTTGTTTGCAAAGATTGCAATGATTAGTTGCTGCTGAAGTGTTTCTATGTTGTAAATACATTTTCTATTTTAGCATGTCCTAAATATGCATGCTTTTGTCCACATAAAAGTTCTTACGTTTATTACGTAAATGGCTGTCAGAGGTGTCGATGCGAAGCAAGTAAGTTGAAATCACTGTGCATGTTATAATCCACAAAAACTTAAAAATAATGAGGTGGTTCCTATTCTGTAAAAAAGTATTACCAAGTTTAAAACCAGTTTGAAACAAGGGCATATTCATTCAATAATTTACAATACATTTGCATTTTTTTTTTAACTCCAATGAAAGTCTACTCATACAAATCCTTATCAAAATCAGAACCTAAAGAACAGCATCTTGGTCAATTTGTATCGCTTTAACGAGCAAGGCACGATATTATAAGCCAATGTTTAACAACTTGAAACAAAATAAAAAGTTGATTAGTGATAGAAAATTCCATAACGATTGATTCAATGACGGACATTAAATCAGTTAAATATGAAGGTAGATTCACTGTTTTCCGCA